TCAGATGCGGCACCCTGGCCTGAGGACAGCTGGGGAGGGAGAATGAGACCTGGGTGGGACAGGGGAGATGGAAGATGAAGCTGGGGGATGCTGATGGATGGACACGTGCAGAGTGGGAGGGAAGAGGGCTGGAGCCAGGGTGAGGGGGAAGGAAAGGGCCTTTCCTTCTGCACCAAGACTTGGTGCTGACAGCAAATCCCATCTAGAAGCAACCTTTGCCTCCTAATGCTGACCTGTTAATAGCTGGGAGGCAGCTGAGAGCTGGCAGGTCTGCTGGCACGGGATGCTTCCATCACGGCCCCTGCCTCGGAAACTTCCAGTGCTCATCAAAAATGTGCAGCTTTGCTCGGAGCTAATTAACTGTGTATTAGCAGAGGCAGACTTCATTTTTAAGCAGAATAAACCCAACTAGGAGCATGTGGGTAGTTCTTTCTGAGATTTTCATTCGTTCTTCCCTTGTACAAGACCTATTTTCTCCCCACCAGCCCTTGCACATCAGCAGAAGAGTTAAGAATTCGAATCAGAGTAAAAAATGGACAGCTTTGCAAGCTTGCTGCATGTGGAGGGCTCCTGTTTGCTTCAAATAAACCCAGCACAGAAGCTAAGTGCTGAGAAACAGTGGGATCTTTCAAAGCTCTAATTAAAGGCAATTTAAAATCTCCAGTGGTATTAGCAAGAGCATAGAACTGCTGCTGGACACGGAGCGGTTAGCCAGGCTGGTGTACTAGCGGAGGGGTGCAGCTGACCTGCTTTAGGAATGGGCATGGCTCTGCTGAGCAAACTGGGGGTTGAATTGACTGATGTTTTGGGGAGACTTGGCCTCTTCTCCCTCCCGCATGGCTGGCGTTGTGGCTGGGAAACGCCGTTGCTGAGCTCTCAGTGGCAGGTACGTGCTGGCGCTGGCGGGGTGAGCCTGGTCTTGAGGGAAGCCAACTTGGCTTGGACCCAGCCCGGCAAAGAGCATCGGAGTGTGCCTGGAGCACGAGGGTCGCAGACGCCTGCGGGGCCGATTTTTACACTTCTGTACTGAAGTAAAAGCTTTATCTAAATGACAATTAAGTCATTATCTGGCTAATTCCGTGCTTTCCATCTTGCTTCGGTTCTGGGAAAACACCTATTGAAATCACACTGCCTCGTATTTTTGTAAAGGACCGAATATTCCTCCCAGCAGCATTCACCTGTATGTGGGCACACAGAAGCGAGTCCTTGGCCACATGGGAGCTGGAGAGGGCTTTGCCACTGTGTTTGGCTGGCCCTGAAACTAGTCCTGCAAAAGTGCATTTCTACAGTTGCACTGCAATATCTCTGCTCTAGACCTCTAGTTAAATGCATGTTAAAGTCCAGGGTCAAGCCACCTGGTAGTAAATTAATGATCCATAGTGTAGCTACTGCTGTGATGCCTCTCTCCCATTAAAAGAGGCAATGGTGCTCTACGTGCCTCGTATGCCTGGGGTAACAGTGCTCATGGCTTGCACCCACCTGGGAGAGGGTGCTTGTGGCATTAAAAGAATATCCTGTGAGCCAAAAGGCATTGCTCAGCCCAGGAGGCACCGCAGAGCTGCGGTCTCCCTAAGGGAGACTCCCATGGGAGCTGGGGACTTCTGGCACATCCCCCCCTGCCCCATGCACCATTTTGGTGGGGTTCACACAGACCCCTTCACTGACTGGGTTTTGCTGCCTCTGCCTGCCCTCCAGCTGGAGGGGTATCACAAGCACCGATACTGCTGTGTTTGTAGCCCCTGAACAAGCATGCAAAGCCCAGGCGGCTCCCACTGCCCCTCTGCCGGCACAACGCACGCGCCTGGCTATCGGAACGCTGGTCTACCAAATGGTCCTTCAACTTAAAGGAGAGAAATTGTTGGGTCATTCCGGATGCATGCAATACCCCAGTCTGCTAAAAAAGCCTCTGGGCTTTTGAATATTAGCCTGGAAGGTGAGGTTTAGTCCTCAGCGCTGGGGTCCCCCCAACACCCTGCTGCCTGGCATGCGAAGTGGCATGGGGGGGCAATTTCTCTGGCTTCTTTAAAAGGAAGGAGGAGTAGAAAGGGAAATAAGAGACATTTACCCACTTTGGAGGTGGGAAGGGTGCCGAGGCCTTCTGCTTTCCTTTCCCATTGCTGTGCTCCTTGCCTCTCTTGGGCCCCATGTTGTGAATCCGATGCTCCCTCTTGTTTTGCTGGTGGTGGTGCTTATTTTTATGGATCAGGAGGCTGCAATCAATTCCAAAAATACTGAGAGTACAGCTCGAGCCCGTGAGATCAGGAGAGGATGTGTGCTTGAAGGAAAAACCTTTTGAAAGAAGTGTCAATTTTCTAATCACCGTAAGGGGTTGACAGAAGAAGGGATGGTTTCCACTGAGTGAAATGGAAAACAAGGAATGAAAATTTCCAGATTCTGTCTTCAGCTTTTCCATGACTTTGTGTTTGGAGGCCACCAAGCACCTTCCTTCCCTGCTTTTTTGCCTCCTGCAGGCAAGGCAGAGCCGTAACTGGGAACGGAGGTGTCCTGTGGCTTTAAGACTGCAGGTGATGGCAAGCTTTTGTGGATACTCCTATGGAGATATAAAATGATTAATCTGCAGGTATCTGAGAACACTTATGACTTAGCTTTTGGTCCTGTGTCTGTTATTTCACTTATGGGGCTGTTAATATCTCATAAAGCACATCAGGCCGTATCTTAATGATTAAAAAGGGTCTGTTTTATCTGTAACTAATGAGAAATGTGATTATTTTAAGTAGTGTAACTTTGTACCAGTCAGACAAGTAGTTTTAATTTGTCTGGAGGCTTGTTTTGAGGTGCTGGGAGCACACCATCCCTCGGATGAGCACATCACCGCTACGGCCCTGGGGCTGGGGTGGGGGCGATGCCGAGGGGCAGGAGCCCTGGAGGCTGTGAGATGGGGGCAGAGGGATGGGGAGGTGGGAGTACAGCAGTGTCAGATGCGGCACCCTGGCCTGAGGACAGCTGGGGAGGGAGAATGAGACCTGGGTGGGACAGGGGAGATGGAAGATGAAGCTGGGGGATGCTGATGGATGGACACGTGCAGAGTGGGAGGGAAGAGGGCTGGAGCCAGGGTGAGGGGGAAGGAAAGGGCCTTTCCTTCTGCACCAAGACTTGGTGCTGACAGCAAATCCCATCTAGAAGCAACCTTTGCCTCCTAATGCTGACCTGTTAATAGCTGGGAGGCAGCTGAGAGCTGGCAGGTCTGCTGGCACGGGATGCTTCCATCACGGCCCCTGCCTCGGAAACTTCCAGTGCTCATCAAAAATGTGCAGCTTTGCTCGGAGCTAATTAACTGTGTATTAGCAGAGGCAGACTTCATTTTTAAGCAGAATAAACCCAACTAGGAGCATGTGGGTAGTTCTTTCTGAGATTTTCATTCGTTCTTCCCTTGTACAAGACCTATTTTCTCCCCACCAGCCCTTGCACATCAGCAGAAGAGTTAAGAATTCGAATCAGAGTAAAAAATGGACAGCTTTGCAAGCTTGCTGCATGTGGAGGGCTCCTGTTTGCTTCAAATAAACCCAGCACAGAAGCTAAGTGCTGAGAAACAGTGGGATCTTTCAAAGCTCTAATTAAAGGCAATTTAAAATCTCCAGTGGTATTAGCAAGAGCATAGAACTGCTGCTGGACACGGAGCGGTTAGCCAGGCTGGTGTACTAGCGGAGGGGTGCAGCTGACCTGCTTTAGGAATGGGCATGGCTCTGCTGAGCAAACTGGGGGTTGAATTGACTGATGTTTTGGGGAGACTTGGCCTCTTCTCCCTCCCGCATGGCTGGCGTTGTGGCTGGGAAACGCCGTTGCTGAGCTCTCAGTGGCAGGTACGTGCTGGCGCTGGCGGGGTGAGCCTGGTCTTGAGGGAAGCCAACTTGGCTTGGACCCAGCCCGGCAAAGAGCATCGGAGTGTGCCTGGAGCACGAGGGTCGCAGACGCCTGCGGGGCCGATTTTTACACTTCTGTACTGAAGTAAAAGCTTTATCTAAATGACAATTAAGTCATTATCTGGCTAATTCCGTGCTTTCCATCTTGCTTCGGTTCTGGGAAAACACCTATTGAAATCACACTGCCTCGTATTTTTGTAAAGGACCGAATATTCCTCCCAGCAGCATTCACCTGTATGTGGGCACACAGAAGCGAGTCCTTGGCCACATGGGAGCTGGAGAGGGCTTTGCCACTGTGTTTGGCTGGCCCTGAAACTAGTCCTGCAAAAGTGCATTTCTACAGTTGCACTGCAATATCTCTGCTCTAGACCTCTAGTTAAATGCATGTTAAAGTCCAGGGTCAAGCCACCTGGTAGTAAATTAATGATCCATAGTGTAGCTACTGCTGTGATGCCTCTCTCCCATTAAAAGAGGCAATGGTGCTCTACGTGCCTCGTATGCCTGGGGTAACAGTGCTCATGGCTTGCACCCACCTGGGAGAGGGTGCTTGTGGCATTAAAAGAATATCCTGTGAGCCAAAAGGCATTGCTCAGCCCAGGAGGCACCGCAGAGCTGCGGTCTCCCTAAGGGAGACTCCCATGGGAGCTGGGGACTTCTGGCACATCCCCCCCTGCCCCATGCACCATTTTGGTGGGGTTCACACAGACCCCTTCACTGACTGGGTTTTGCTGCCTCTGCCTGCCCTCCAGCTGGAGGGGTATCACAAGCACCGATACTGCTGTGTTTGTAGCCCCTGAACAAGCATGCAAAGCCCAGGCGGCTCCCACTGCCCCTCTGCCGGCACAACGCACGCGCCTGGCTATCGGAACGCTGGTCTACCAAATGGTCCTTCAACTTAAAGGAGAGAAATTGTTGGGTCATTCCGGATGCATGCAATACCCCAGTCTGCTAAAAAAGCCTCTGGGCTTTTGAATATTAGCCTGGAAGGTGAGGTTTAGTCCTCAGCGCTGGGGTCCCCCCAACACCCTGCTGCCTGGCATGCGAAGTGGCATGGGGGGGCAATTTCTCTGGCTTCTTTAAAAGGAAGGAGGAGTAGAAAGGGAAATAAGAGACATTTACCCACTTTGGAGGTGGGAAGGGTGCCGAGGCCTTCTGCTTTCCTTTCCCATTGCTGTGCTCCTTGCCTCTCTTGGGCCCCATGTTGTGAATCCGATGCTCCCATCTGAAGAGCACCGGCTGCGGGCTCCCCCCAGAGCCCGTTGGTGCAATCTGGGTCATTTGGAGAAGGTTGTCGGAAGGGATCCTGCACCTCCCTGCTGTGCCGGTGCTGAGCTTTGCCTTCCAGGGCGTGCAGGGGGCCAGGCTTGTCCCAAGTCCTGCTCCCAAACTTGGCTCCCTCAACCCACTGCAGCCTGGGGACTGCTGGGGTGTCCCCTGGGGTGATGGGCTGAGGTGAGGCAATGCTGGGGCACCGCATCAGGGATGGGGGGAAAGCTCCGTGGGATCCATCCAGGTGCTTTTTTTGGGTGGGAAATAGCTAAGTCAAGGGCTTGAGCTGGCACAGAGCACCCTGGGAGGCAAACCTCAGCTGCCCTGCCGACGGGGCTGCTGGTGAGTAAGGGGGCTTCTAGCCAGGCAACAGAGCCCTCCGGGGGGAAGGCAGAATTTCCTCAAGTGGGACCGAGTGGGTTCCAGCCGAGAGCTCATCTGTATGGCTGTTTCATAAGTTTCCCCCGTGCCTGGGCTCTGTGCTCAGCAACAGACGCTCTATGTGCCAAGAATAACTGATTTCTCAGAAACATCGTGTAATATATATGCATGCAGAGGCCCGGAGCAAACTACACCAGTTTCTTTGTGTTTAGCTTGACCTGTAACAAAATCTGTCCCCAATCCAACACCAGTCTAGCATCATGGGGCCAGATGTGCTGTCCAGCACTGCAGCTTGGTGGAGGCAACCCTCCACCCGGCAGTTCGGGTCCCTTCTGAATCCCCACCTCTTTCCTTGACCCAAGTCTTGGTATTTACACAGACAAATGCTGGTGGTGATGAGCAGAGCTCCAGAGCCAGCGTTTAGACCATCGTCAACCTCCTGCTCACTTACTGCAGTCAAAAGCCACCAGCAAAGGCAGGGCGCAGGGACGCCTCCAGCCTGGGGCCACGCCGTACGGGGCTACCATTAGTCCCCATGTTCAGACCGGCTTTGCACAGCAAGCTGCATGAGCAATGAATTTCCAAGCCTTTCCAGACTAATAGTTCCTGCAAAGCAGTGGGAGTTGAGACTTGAGTTTCTACTTGAATGTTCTTTCTGTTCAGCTGTGGGGTTTTATCCAAACTATTTTAACGCTCACTGCCTCAGTTTCTCCACTTGTAAATCCCCAACTTGCCTGTTTGCTGTTCTTGGATGAACAGCACTGTGTGAGATATGGTTCATGTTCCAGTGGCTGCTGCTCGGACACATTTGGAAAAACAAACTCTGAATGTTTTCTGGGAATATGGATATCCTAAATCAGCCCAAGGCTGGAATGGGGGCACTGTGGGGGCACAGCGCGGTGTCTGTGAGCTGGGGAGCACCTGAAGTTTGTGCTCTGCCCATGGGACTTTGTGTGTGGTTCTGCTTCCTCAGCCCTTCCCTGGTTTAAATGCAAATATATAAATGGCATCAGCTTCATGCTAAAGTGGATAAAGATCAAAAATATGAAGTCAAGTAAGACCCAGTAGCCCATTAAGTGCATGAAAGCTGTCAGCCTGTTTTAATCTGCTGCTATTACACCTTTAATTTGCCTGGCACAGCTGGGAAGCACAGCAAGCAAAGGCTGTGCAAGCCCCGGTGTGGGAAGCTGGAGGGGGGGTGGGCAGTGAATTTCCCACCTGCCGTGAGCCACCGCTTGGAATTCCCTGGCTATTTTTCTTTTTTACGGTGCCAAAAGCAGTTTGCTGTCAGCAAGTGTTCCTTCTGCCCCTTCCCTACCCCGTATGCTGCCTTTGGTCTCTATCGCCACGTTCTGGAGGGTTTTGCTTTCCGAACCTAGGGCATTCGAGTGAGTTGTCCCCCCCGTAACAACATTGCGAATGCATCACTAAAGTACTGCTGTAAGCCTCTGGCTCCAGCCCGCAAACGCTACCAACCCGAATTCATTCCTCAGATGAGCAAGTGTAATTATAGCATAAAGCAGCACTCGAAACTGTTTGCCTGTAAAACATCCTTCTCTTGAATCCTCAGTTAAAGCCCGGCTTGCGCCAGCTTCATACTGGACATAACGGCCCTAGGAAATCCTTTTCCAGGGTGTGCTTGGCCATAAAGCCTGGATTTGCTCTAACGCCTGCTTTAATCTTCACCCTTGATGCTGCAGCACAGCCCGCCTAAGCCCTCGGCACCGTCCCCATCCCAAACGCCTCGGCGCGTCCTGCAGCCGCCCCCGGTAAGGATCGGGTTTACCTTAGGAGTGGCGGTGCCCAAAACGGAGCTTTCAGTGGGATCCGACGGGGAGATTTTTCCCTCTCATCTACGGATTTCTGTAGTTCCCACCTTTGGGAGAACAGCCTATCTACAAGCGGGAGCTTTCCGTGTATCTTGTCTCTCAATGCCTCCAAATGTTTCTTGCTGCTCTTGCCGTTCCCAGGCGGGTTTAATTACTTTGTGTTTTTAAATAGAAGTGAAGCACCAGTGCTCAGTAATTATTCAGAAACAAGAAGCGCGTGCGAAGACCCCTGGATAAAGTCAGCCCCTGAACGCTGAGCTTTCTCCCTCCAAACTTTATTTCGTGATGTTCCTCGTTATCCCCACCTTGATAAAAACTCCTCTTCCCGGCCACTCTGCCAGCGCATCCCCGGCTGCCTGGGCTCCTCTGGGGCATGGTGGCCATCCCTGCGAGGGCAGGGTGCTCGGCGTCGCGTCTGTGCCTTCACGGTCACTTGGCAAAATTCATCCCTCTCACCAGCTCGTTGGGACGGAACTGCAGGAATTGGGCAGGAAAGCGGGCTCGGGGCGGGGGCAGTGCTGCTGCTGTGCCCAGCCCCTGGCCGGTGCGGGGACAGGCAGCACCCAGCCGTGCAACCTTTATTTTCCAAAATGCCAGGGCTGTGCAGAAGCAGGAGCGCAGCTCGGCTCGATCGACCCTGCGTGTCCTTGCCGGTGCAAAATCAGGGGCTTCCCAGCCGTCCCCTCAGTCACCTCCATCAGAGCCCTCTGTCCTTGGGTGGGATTTGCTGTTCCGAGCCAGGAGCGTGGCGGGGAGGTGCTCGCCTTCGTCTCGGGCTGCTCACTGACTTCCCATGCTGCGCGCTTGCCGTTTGCTCCTACGGCACAAATAAAAGCTGCTGTCGCTGGCGTGGTCCCCAGTTGGTTGCGAGAGGATCTTTTTTCTACTGTTTAAAATGTGTAAGGTCTCGCGAATTAAGAAGCTACAGCCTGTCTAGATCTTATACCAGGCGGTCTCTGATTCATCGGAGAATCTCCTTGGTAACTAGCTGTTCCTCTCTGATGATTTGTTACAAAAAGGCTCTCCCAATTTAAAGATAAAATACAGTGAAAGCAGAAAGAGGAGCTATATGGTATAGACAGCTCCTACAGGGACATATGGCTTGTGTGCACGCAGCTGTGCGGGGTCATTTCTGATGTCTGTAGGAAGCAGCCCCTTGGTGAAATAGCCTGGTGTCACCCCACGGGTGGGGAACGTGCCCTGGCTCCGCTAGAAATCCTCATTGCTGTGCTGGGGCCGGCAACCCCATCTGCAGGATAAATAATCCCACGGGAGATGATGATGTTGGCATCTAATGAGGGGCTCAGCAGTTCGTGCTTTCATAAGCCAGACCTCTGGCCTCCTGTGGGACAGATTGCCAACTACAAAGATTCCAAGGGTGACCTTCTGCGGGAGGCGTGCCCGGCGTGTTTGAGGCCACCTCGTAGCCCTCCTGCTCTGGCAAGGAGCCCTCGCTGCCTGACCTGCCCTGGGCACCCAGCAAAGCTCTGCCTGCGCTCTGGCTGCTCCTCGAGTTGGAGGGAAGGTTTGTGGGTTTTTTCTTTTTTCGGGGAACCAGCATTGCTGGAGAAGTTGATCCAAGGTGAGGCTAAGAATGCTTCATGTTTGAAATAGCTGGTAGTTGTGTTCAAAACGTCAGCGTAAGCAAAGTTTGACCCATGAGTGCCCAATGCCAGGAAGCTCTGCGGGGAGAGCTGCCCAGGGTCATGGACGGACAAGGCAACAGTATGGACTAGGAACAAGTTTTAATCGAATCAGAATCCCAGGTTGGAAGGGACCTCAGGGATCATCCGGTCCAACTTTTATATGCAAGAGCACAGCCTAGACAAGTTGGCCCAGCCCCCCGTCCAGCTGCATCTTGGAAGTGTCTGATGTGGCGGAGCCAACCCCTCCCCTGGGGAGATTATTCCAATGGGTGACTGTTCTCATGGGGAAAAATTTCCCTCTCCTGTCCAGTCGGAATCTCCCCAAGAGCAACTTGTGTCCATTCCCCCTTGTCCTCTCCACGTGACTCCTCGTGAAAAGGGAGTCTTCATCTTCCTTGTAGCCACCTTTAAACACTGGTATGTGGTGCTGAGATCCCCTATGAGCCTCCTTTGCTCCAGGCTGAACAAACCCAGCTCTCTCAGCCCATCCCTATACAGCTGAGAGAGGCTTCCCCGCCTTTGGATCATCTTGGTGGCCCTGCTCTGGGCCCCCTCCAGCCTGTCCACATCTTTTTTGTGCAGCGGGGACCAGAACAGTACAAAGGATTCCAGTTGTGGCCTGAGCAGCACTGAGCAGAGTGGGACAATGACTTCATCTCTGGTGGTGATGCCCTTGGTGATGTCCCCCAGCACCCTGCTGGCCTTCTTGGTTGCAGCAGCACACTGCTTGCTTCTGTTGAGCTTGATGTCCACCGGTCCCTTCCCACAGAGCTGCTCCCCAGCCGTGTGGATCCCAGTCTGTGCTGCACTCCTGGGTTGTGTTTTCCCAGGTGCAAGACCTTACACTTGTCTGTATTGAGCCTCATAAGGTTCTTGTTAGCCCACTCTTCCAGCCTATCCAGATCTTCCTGCAGGACAGCTCTCCCTTCCAGAGTGTCTGCTCAACTTGGTGTCATCTGCAAACTTTACCAGGCTACGCTTCGTCTCATCATCCAGATCACTTATGAAGATATCAGATAACATTGGGCTCAATATCAGTCCCTGGGGGTCCTCTTCCTCTCCACATTTTCTCACTGGCCTCATGCCCTTTCTGTCCTGTGTCACTAATTCCTCTGAAATAATACAACCAGCAGCACAACCCCAGGTCTAGAGGTGTCTTTCACCTCTGTAAGAGGCTTTTGAGCTCATGGCTGGAGCTCGCCCACCCCTGGAGGAGCACACGGCAGCTGGAGGAAGGCTCCCACGGGCAGCTCTGGCAGTAGGGCTATTGCTATCGTGGGGGTCGGCGATTTGGGACAAACTCTGTGTTCCCATGAGGTGGTGTGGCATCTCTGGTGTCTGGGCAGGAGGGGCCCAGGATTGTGTGCTCTGCTGGGGAGGCCAGATCTGGCCCTGCTCGGATTCAGACCTGTAGGGTCAGGGTGTTTAAATCTTTGCAGGCAAAAGCTCAGGTAAATGCACTGCCCCCACCAGTGACGCCTAAAGTGCTCAAACCTCCATTTACCAAGCAATGTAGGCGACGGTGCACTGGTGCTGGTAAATGAGGGTGAAGATAACCACGCTCAGCTTCGACGCAGCTGACCCATGTCAGGAACATGACCTCCTTCTGGATAAGGGGTGGGCTTTTAGATGATCAAAGCTGTGATAGCAAGGCCTAACTCTCCGCTCTCTCGGTTGGGGGGAAAAGGGGAGAGAGATGCCCATCCTTCCCCATCCTGCCGTGGGCGCTGAGCAGTGAGAGGGCTGGTGAGCCCCTGCTGGCTGTGTGGCTGGGTGCTGCGGTTTCAGGTCTGACAGGAGATACAAGGGGAAGCATCTCCTCCGCCTCTTTCCTGCCTTTTATTTTTCTTTCTGAAGCTTGAAAGAAAGAGCAAAGCCTTTGCTGCTATCAGATCTCTGCCCCCCCGCCTCTCAGTGGGAGGGAAGCGGAGAAGCCGATGGAGTCCCTGGTGGAAGGGATGTCTGTGGGGCACAGCCTGGCTGGCTCCATCCCCAGGAGGGGAGGATGGAGGGGGGAGAATGGAGGGGAATCAGGTCCAACAGCTCTGCTGCTTGGTGCTGGGGTCTCTGATATTCGGTGCCATTCTGTGACCATGGTGTGGCTGAAGCCACTGGGCTGGGAAAAACCAAAGCAGAAGAGGTTCCAGTTGAACGTGAGGAAGAACTTGTTGACTGTGAGGGGGTCGCGGAGGAACGCCCCAGCCCCTGCCAATCTGGGATTCTGTGAAAAGTGGGCTCATATTTGTTTTGCCCAGGGGTAGCAGGAGCTGCATCTCCCCCGAGCAGAGCCTGGGAGCCCCATCCCACTGCAGGACCCTCCTGCAGCAGGGGATGCTCCCTCAGAGCCCACCCTGCCCCGTGGAGGTGGTGAGCAGACCTGACGATGGACTCTTTAACCTTGCTGAGGCTCTGGAGCAGTCAGAGGGGCAGATCTCTGTGTTTTTTGTTATACGTTTTAATCACACCCTTGTGACTTGGAGCTTGACACTGGAGGGGGGGAGTGGAAGAGCATCAAAACCTGCCTGTTCCTCACCCCCCGGCTGGTGCCTGCAGCCTTTGGGTTCAGCTGCAGGCGCCCGTGGGCAGCATCTCCTCACCTGTATTGGTGCCTGCGTGGGGTGGTTTGGGTTACAAATATGTATTTGTTAAAAAAAAAAGCTTATATGCAGTGTTTTGCCGTTCCTATCTCCTTTGCAATGTGTTGCTATTTTGGGAAACGAAGCAAAGGTGGCTGCAGCTATTTATAGCAGGGGAAGGTACGTGGGCGCCCGCAGCCCGGCGTGGGCACGGGGCTGCCTGCGGGTGGCAAGGGTGAGCCCTGCACATATGTGGCTTTTTGGGTGGTTTTTTTTTTTGGCTTTTCTGTGGCTCTTTCATTTTATTTCAGTTGCTGGCCTAATCCTGAAGCAGATTTGAACTTAGAGGAACGTCAGTGGCAGTAGAAAAAAATAAATAGATGAAAAAAAAACCCCACCCCAAAACCGTGCACAGCCTTGGCGAGTATTTTTTATGAATTGGATCTCTTGAGATGAAAGCTTCGTTACTGTGAAACAACGAGCCTGCTACTCTCTCAGTAGTACAAATGGGTTTCATTTGTATCAGGAAGATACAAGCGTATTATTTTTAGGCTGTTCCTGTAGCACCAGGAATGTTTAATGTGATAATCAATGTAATTGAGGAACTGAAAGAACAGAAAATTGCAACACGCTCCAGAGTGGCAATGACTGCGATGGCAGCGCTGCTGGAAGGTCCGGGGCGCAGGTCTAGCAAAGCCGGGCTTGGACCCCGAGTGTGGACGATCCCACCCCACACTGGGGCCCGTGGAGGGCACAGGGCAGCTCCAGCGCAGCCCTTGGGCAGGGGCCGGACCCCCCTGGTACCAGCAGCACGGCCCTGACCCCCCGAGTACCCAGCCAGGGGTTTGGGGCCATGGGACGCGCCCAAGGACGGCTCTGCTGGAAGAGCATGGAGAGAAAGAGCTGTTGTCTTCTCCCCCAAAACCCAAGGGCTCCTGGGGTCCAGTGGGAAGCAGCACATCCAGGAGCAAGCCTGGCTGTGGAAGTTGGCAGCTGCATTTGTTTGAGCAGGTCGTTACCAAGTGTTTGCAAACCTTCATAGGTTCACAAGTTGGCCAGTTTACCCCTCCCGCCCCTGAAGTAGCAAAAAGCATGCTTTTGACACCAAACCCTGCTGTCAGTTCCCAGATCCTCCTCAGAAGTACGGGGATGCTAAAGCTTCTCAATTAAATGCCTCAGAGCCTTCAACACAGACAAAAGACGGCATCTCCTCTCCAGCCCCCAGCTTGGAAGCTGTTGTGCTGCTTTGTGAAGCTTTAAGCTTCCCCCCCCAAAACTCAGCCTGCAGCAGGCACCTGCCACAAATATTATCAGCCCGAATTCTATGGAAAGCATAAGCAGCAAACTCATCAGAGGGCCCACCAGCTATAGGTGCGTCACCTACAGTGCCATGGTCATGAGCCCAGCCACACGCAGCTCCCGCTCTGGCTTTGGGGAGCTGCTGGTCACTGCATACCAAATCCCACCGCTCCTGTACCCCCAGGTAATTTCACTGCTAATTTTGGTCCCTCTGTGATACCACGGTTTTGGTTTTGGGGTGGGTTTTTTGTGTTTGCTGGAAAATTGCATACATTTTAGATGCAGCCTCCAAAGCTGCTGAATGAGGAAACGGCCTCAAGTTGTGCCAGGGCAGGGTGAGGTTGGCCATGGGGAACAATTCCTTCCCCTTGGGGCTGTCAGGCACTGGAAGGGGCTGCCCAGGGAAGGGGTCGAGTCCCCAGCCCTGGGGGGATTTAACAGCTGGGCAGAGGCGGTGCTGAGGGCCAGGGTTTGGGGGTGGGATGGCAGGGGTAGGGGAACAGTTGGGCTGGGGGAGCTTAAAGGGCTCTTCCAACCTCAACGATTCTGTGATTCTATAAATTCAGAGCAAGCCTGAACGGACCGTCAGCCTGCAAGGGCGCAGTCAGGTTTGTTTTCGTCCCTCTCCGTTTTAATTTGTTGCACTTAGAGGAGGGAAATTTTCTCGGTTTGGGAAGTTGCCTTGTGGTTTTCCAATGAATCGTAGCTGTAGAGACCGAAAGGCATTTGGTGCCCTCCCTTCTGGGGGAGCTGCCGGAGCTCCCCTCCTGCGCCAGGCCAGGCTCCTCTCTGCCCCTGCCACTCTGGCAGCTACAGAGAAGCCAGGTTTGTCCCCAGAAAAACTCACGTTAGCCGTACGTGATCGGTCCTGCCATGAGCTCCAGCTAAGCCTACTGCAGTCAGGGGTGCTTTGCCGAGGGACACGGCTGAAGCCGGGGATGCGCTGGCTTCGGTGTTCACGCTCCTAATGCAATTGCTTACATTACAAAGCAATTATCAGGGTTTAAAATTCCAATAGCGTTTTGAAGGCGTCTATGCCTGGGGGTTTCTCATTTGCAGAGATGTTTCTTTTATTGTACCTCCTTGCCTAATAACTTCACCGTTTTAAACACATCGAGGTGGTTTAAAAACCTATTTGCGATCTTTGTTGGAAAACAAAGGCGATGCTGCCAGCGCCAAGCAGAGTACCTGCTCGGACGCAAGCTGCTCCTCAGGCCTGATTCAGGCTTTGTGCAGGTTTAATGAGGTGAAACCCCTGTACGGTGTTGCCTGCTCCCTTTCTTCATTTTCGGCAGCCTGTCCTTCCGCTGGGGCAGAGCACCTCGGTGCCGGCTCTACCACTGCGGAACCATCAGCTTTTCCTGGTCCCACCCCTCCAGGAGCAGCTGGCACCCTTGCGGTATGTTTTCACCCCAAATAACGCACACCGCGTTCTCGGCAGATGGGCTGGCTGGGGTGGGGGGGGAAGAGCAAACTTCCTCCATCGGCAGCTAAAGAGCAAGGTTGCTGCTGGTGTTTTGAGGTGGTGCCGTGTCAGAGAAGCAGGGCCCTGGGGCAGCTCCAGTCCAGCCCAGAAGAGCCAAGAACTCAACTGGGACTTACTGGAGGAGATAATTAGAATCATAGAATCATAGAATCATTTAGGTTGGAAAAGCCGTTTAAGATCACCAAGTCCAACCATTACCCTAACCCTGCCATCCCACCACTAAACCATATCCCTAAGCCCCTCGTCCGCCCGG